AAGAAAAACATTCTAAATGCTCAAGTTCAGCAATGCACTTAACATGGGCATGGTTTTACACCAAAGAGTAATCTGTTTAAATAAATGTATTACTGAATTGAAACTGCAACATTTGTTTTGTATCACCTGTGTGCTCGCTGAAGTAATTTTTAATTTTTCTAGTGAAAGTCTAAGATGGCTGAACTTTTAGACAAAAAAAACCCAAACCTCAGGTTGGTTTTTTTTTTTAAGTAGGTTTCTCCTACTTCCAAATACTGCACCATTGTCACCAAAATCAGTTATAAAACTTCTTAACACCAATGTAGTATTAAGAAGCAGGCATTCTTTATTGACGGCCAGGTGCGCAGGGGAGTCCTCTCACCAACCACACACACCTGACCTGTTAACAGCTACTGATCATATTGGATACATAATACATAATAAGCAGGTTCTCATACAAAAACATGTTAATTCTCATAACTCATTATCATCTCTCCACCTTCATCTGGTTGTGTGCAGTAGATTCCTGAATTGGTTGAAGAGCTGCTCCGTGCCCACCCACAGACCCCAGACTCAAAAGGTGCGACCCTCCAATGTCCTTGAGTCAAGGACTTTCGCTCAAACTGTACTTTGGTCACGATTCAAAGATTGTTAGCAAAAAGTTACAGTAATAATCCTGTCTAGCAGACATCCTTAAACAATAACATATTATCTTTGCTCTTAACCATGAACAGACAGTCAGTTAATGAACATCTCTGGTCTACGTAACTTGGGACTGTACTGGGTGTCTTATCAAAATACATACAATTGATTTTTGTACATACAATTTATTTTTATACATGTTTGATATCACCATCATTAACAGAAAATTAGCATAGTAGATAAAGGCAACTTACATGGAAAAAATATAAAATCTTTGATAAGGTAATGAATCTTAAACATTTGTAGAAAACATTGCGTTTTCATGTATCAAGTCAAGAGGAAATATTTTCCTAATCTTAATCCTATAGGAATCAACATGTTTTCTTTTTGCTGACTTTAGTCACTGCCATTTCTTATATAGTACTGTGTGTGTAATACTGTAATCATTTTTTCCTGTTTTTGCATTCTCTTATAGTATCACATTTTCTAAATCATACTGGCAGTACGACTATATTTCGTACACCCACAGGCTCATTTGTAGAGGTAGACCTGGTATAATGCTGCTGCACCCACCCTGTGGAACTTACTCAGAATGTCTGTGATCCTGAAGTCCTTGGCAGTTTTTTTGGAACAAGTCCTACGGAATGCATTTTTGGGTCAAAGGAGATTGACATACTTGCCTGGAGGGTGCTTGCCTTTGTAGCTCTTGAAGCTCCAACATACAGCTGGTTGAATGTAACTGAAAAAATGGCCTCTGAACAAGAGATCACTCTATAAACAGAATATATATAGGAAAAAATGTTGGCTGTCAGGTATCAAGTTTAGACTCCTATTAATATAATAGCTGAAATAATGTTTCAGTTAATAACTGAAATAGTCCATAAAGTATTGGTAAGATAGTAAGTTTTAGGCAGCTTGTTTGTGGGGTTTTTTTTTTTGGTTTTTGGTTTTTTTAAGAGTACACATTGAAAATAATAGCCAAGATTTTCAAAGCTAGCCACCAGTTTGGAAAAGCTCGACTCTTTTTAGGTAGCAAGGATGTGACTGTCATACATTGCTCTTTTTATAATCATCTTTTCCAAAGCAGTGGATGAAAAGTTCCAACACATGTTTTGATCATCATTTAACTTCTTTTTGCTAAAGGGATTTCTATCTGGTGTCTGGTAATAAAGAATCAAGTGTACCTTGGAATTTACACTTCTGTGTACAACTCGTCTGCAAGAAAGAACTGGAGATGAAAATGCTTTTTTCAGGGACCAGATAAGTGATTTCCTTGCTTAGGCCTTCCAACAATAATGATGCTTGCAGCATGGTGCAACACACTTTTCTTGAAAGACATTCAGCAAGAATGAACCAGGGAAGAATGCGGCATAAATAAGGACAGATTAGAAAATACATCTCTGATTGCATAATGAGCTTCTGAAGCATTCAGAAGCTCTTCTGGGCCTATGCTTCTTTCTAATCTATTCCTTAAGAATTTTTAAGTATTCTCATTTTACTGTAGAGGTGTCTTATGAATAGTATTACTATTGAAGAAGAAATCAGGGTAGTCCGAGTAACAGAATTCTTTTGGAAAGCAATAGTGTTTGTGACTTTTTTTGTTGCTTGAGTCGTATGAGAATCTATTCCGATACGAATCCACTTGTAAGAAACACATAAATAAGTTAAAAATTGAATGTGAAAATGAGGTCCAGATATGTCAAACATTTATTCACCCATGCACCCACCCAATTCACCCAGCCATTCTCCTACAAAGGAAAATTGTATGAAATGGCTTTTCTGATTAGATACATTGAAAAAAAATTTTTTTGCGTGTTTTTCATGAGGCAGTGGGCCACAAATAGATGTAATTTCTAGAGTAAGAGGAGAATAATTTCAGTTGTTTATGTCTTGTTTGGATTTATGAAAGCTCAGAAGGGGAACGTATTATAAAATCTTGGAAAATTCTGATGAGATAGAAGAAGCAGCTCCTACTTCTAGAGATAATTTTTTTATGACTGCACTATAAGCAGAGAAGGTTGGAGTAATTTTCATTTTAATTGAACAAAAATAAACTATCAACGTGGCTGCAGAGAAGAGTGCATCACTGTACATCACTTCTGGTTCCTGTGATTCCATGCATATCCTTATAAGCTTGAATATGTGCTTGCAATAAACATGCGTATGTATGTAGTGAAGGAGGACACGTCAACTTTAATGCAAAGGAAAATGATGTGGTTATGGACATCTTCCTTTTTTTTGTGTGTGGTTATTTCATTTGCCATTTGTTTTTGAAATTTGAATACCTTTATGATAATGGTACAAAGTTATTTTCTTCTCTTTGACTGTCAACTTTAGAAGAGCCTGTTTGACAAGCTGGGCTTCTAAAGAACTGGTAACTAGGATTCATAGAAGTAATTTTCAGAATTAGGTTTACAGATTCGAAGTTTCAACTTTTGTTGCCTTGAGGGGTTTTTTGTTCTGTGGAACTGCCTCCTCAGATAAGAGTCATTATGAATTTACATTGAGCTTTCCGTCTTAAGTAAACCATCCCAGAGGCAATAAAAGGAGATAAATGAATAGGGGGGGGCAGGGAAATGGTTTTGAGAAGGTACAAACAAATAGATGACTTAAGATCAAAATATATTAGATAACTGTGAGAGTCATAAAATGTGAAATTCAGATAGGGTGGATATGGGGGTTCTGCTTGGTTTCAAAGGTTAAATCAAAGTTTAGTGTAAAGCAGCTGCAGAGAGTGAGAATAGAGAGTGAAAAGGAACTTTTTTAAAGAGATAAGTTATTTCTTTCCCCAAGGTTTTACTTCAATGCATTTTTATGATTCCTGGGCTTTGCAAAATTGAATTGCATTTTTCTTATTCTTTTCATGTCTGAATAAATTCAAGGTAAGATACCCCTTATGTAAATGGAAGTTATATTGTGTTAAGAGCTACAAACTATTTCTTCAGAGTGGAATCTATACTCGGGATTCATAAGATCCTGAAGAAGGATGGTGGGACTCTTGGGATTCTCATTTAAAAGAACAGATACAAGGACTATTTCTGTAAATTGCTGTCAAGGCATTACAGTCAGCTGATACAGGGGGAAAGCCTGAAGACGAAGCCTGCCATAATTACTGTATTTTTCTTTTAAAAAGTAACAAAGGAGAAGGAAATATTCTTGCATGTATTTCCCTGTGGAGGGTTAATCTTGGGTAATGGCCAACCCCTCACCCAGCCGCTTGCTCACTCACTGCCCTCAGCAGGACAGGGGCAGAAAATGGGATGAAAAAGCTTGTTGGTTGAGATAATTGCAAGGAAACTGATTACCAGTTACTGTCATGGGCAAAACAGACTTGACTTGGGGAAAATTAGTTTGATTTATTGCTAATTAAAATAGATTTAGGTAGTGAGAAACAAAAAGACAAACATTAAAACTACACCTTTCCTCCCTGCTTTCCCAGACCCAACTTCACGCCTTCATCCACACTCCCCTTCCCACCCGCTGAGTGGCACAAGTGGGATGGGGAATGGGGGGTTGTGGTCAGTCTGTAATGGCTCCTCTCTGCCCCTCCTTCCTCCTCACACTTTACACTTGTTCCAGTGTGGGCTCTCTCCATGGGCTGCAGCCCTTCAGGAAAAAAATCTGCTCCACCATGGGTTCTCTGTTGTCTGCAGTCCCTCAAGGACATATGCAGCTGCTCTGGTGTGGGTCCTCCATGGGCTGCAATGGATATCGCCTCTGACGTGTTCCTTGCCATGGGCTGCAATGGAGTATCTGGAGCTCTGGAGCATAGAGCACCTCCTTCTCTGACCTTGGTGTTCCCTGTGCTGTTTCCCGTTCTTTCTGTTCCGTGATCTTCTTCCTGTCTGGCATTGTCTGCTCTTCCTTAACTATGTTTTCTACAAGGCATCATGGGTTTTGGCTGCAGGGCTCAGCTGTGTTCTGCCGTGGGTCTTATGGAGCCGGATGGAACTGCCTGTGTCTGGCACAGGGCAGCCCCGGCCTCTTCTCACCGAGGCCACCCCTGTAGCCCCCCCACTGCCAGCACCTTGACATGGACACCCAGTACGGTCCTGTTCAATTAAAATATTTCTGAATGTAATGAAGGAAGTTTGCAGTTCCATGGACACATGATGCCTCCAAAACCCCACTGTTGTTAAAATAAGTCTTACAAAAATGCAGAAGCTAGGATTCACTTGACTGTTTCTTAGAGGCTAGTTTTGGTTGCTGTGCAATCAGGGATAATATGATTGAACCATGGATGTTGGCTTTTCATCAAAGCTACCCTTTTAATTAGGACAGTGTTGTGAGTAGAGTATGTAGTCAGAGATAATGCTCTTCTGTGTCTTATCTATGGAATATGGTTGGAAATGTTTTCATTCCATTTTTCCACAATTTAGATTGCAAGGAGATAATTTGGCAGAAAGGCCAGAAGATGTCTCCATGGTATCTGAAATGTCTGAGCCAGCAGTGTCAGACTCTGATGGTAAGTTATATAAATATTTGCCACTCATTAAAAAAAACCCAAACACCAACATCTTGAATATAAGAGTAGAGGTTATGTCTATAAAAGAAGATTAAACACTTCCAGAGAGTGTTCCTAGGCATTTGAACTCAATCATTTACACTTCAAATCTGTTAGAAGAGCCTCTAACGTGGCTTTTGTCATGGCCAGTTAGCACTTCAGAATAATTCCTAGACATATTTTGGGAGCCACCTTGGGCCAGGATTGATTCTTAGTAGACAATTTGTGTGTTAGCACACTATTTTGGATGTAAAATAGCTTAATAGCATAGACATGGGCTGTTCATTGCCACTTGGCCTCTATGCCAAAGAATGATCTTTGAAATATTTGATTTAGTCCTACAAATACATACATAGGATTCAAGTAACATACAGTAAAAATAAAGAGTTACAGAATTTCTCTCCTGTTTTTAAACTAAGTATCAGAAATGCTTCATTGATCTCCCCAAGCACCACTGACTAGAATTAAAGTACAGTAAAAAGAAGTTTATACACTAGCTCTGAAGAACATTTTTTTCTCCTCATACAAACATAATCATACTCTGCACTAATCTTCAGTCAGGACACTCAGCATTATTTCAATTTCTGCCCAGGTTTTTTGAACAGAATAACGCCTGAAATCTAATGGAAAAGGCACTTCCTAAGGGATATCTTACCAGAGAATGCCTTGCTTTCCTATGAAAGATTAAGTTGATGAAGGTTAACTTTATCTTAGCTGTCACTGGAATGGAGACAGAAAGGGATAGAGGTTTGGACAGAAAGTCTGCAGAGATAAATCCTTCAGTCCATTCCCTTACTGTTGGGCAGAACCAGCCGAGTCTATTAATTGGAGGATTTGATTTGCAGTTTAGTCTTCAGCAGCCACAGATGAGTTAGCTGTGTTGATTAATTAATGCAAACCAAATTGGAAGTAACTTTTATTGTTTTCAATTATCCTACTAACTGTCTGCTATGTAGTGCGATTAAGCATGGTGGCAACCTGAGGAGCTTTCCCTCATTTCTCTTGCCTCATTTGTAAACTGATGTAGGTCAGCATTACTAACTAGTGTGTCTTTAAAGATGAATTTTTCAAACCGGTTCTGTGAGAGTGCATGGCTTCATGCAGTCATGCCGTTTGTTGTTCCTTTCATCTGCCATTGATCACTTTATTAAAAAACCTAATAGGGGACTCAGAATCTCAAAATACAATGTTCTTACAAGCTTGATGAAGATTGTCAGCAAAAGAGACCCAGACTGGTGACTGTACTCAAGCCCTGTGAAAGGAAAACAAAATTCTTCTGTTATGAGAGTAATCCCCAGGTGCTGGCTTGTTTGGGATAGGTAAGGGGATATGCAAGCATGAGATTGTTGCAGCAGAAATAAGTAGAGAGCTAAGACATACATGTAGGAAAAAGTTTTACAGTTGCTGAAACAATTTGTTTTGAACAGATCTCTGCCTTCCCTTTTCCTTCCTGTGTACACTTGTTCTTGAAGTGGAAATATGCCCACTGTGCCACACCATCTTCTGAAACTATAGGCTTCAATAAATAGTAAGCTGTTGCTAAGTGGCAGCGGCACCAGGATTAAAGAAGGTGAAACTGTCAGCAGGTGCTGGATGCTGTGTAATAACAAAGCTGGATCTTTCACGGTCACAGAGCATGGAGCACAAGAGTGCTACAGCCATTGTAACATGGACCACTTCATGTGCTTCTGGTTACTCTGTGCTCAGTATGGATATAGAGAAGATGGAGAATGCTTTACCTAAAAGAAACCCACCTCCAATAAAATGATAGGGATTAAATATTAGATAAGTAGGTGGGGCAATGATATACATGTGTTATAAACACATCTATCTCATATGAACCTGTTAGTCATATAGCTAGAAAATAGCAAAGCCCTTGGGGCAAAAGGACTGAGGTCAACAGTGAGGTACTGCCAAATTTTTGTCACAAGGTGCTCTCAGAAATGTTCAGCCTTTCAAAATATTTTTTTTTTTCCTAAAATGTTGGCTAATGATACATTTTGATTTGAAAAAAAGCACAGCTGGATTTTACAAGTAGGCACAGACTAGAAACAGGCACAGGACTCGAGCAACCATCCATTCTATCAATGTTTCCTATAAATGCAGCACATTACTTGTTTTCTATACATCTGATATTTATTTCTGATAAATACTGTGTATGAGAAGATGATAAAAGAGACTCCTAAAGATATTGTTAGAAAACCCTAAGTAACCAGGGCATCATGTTGCACTGAATTTTTGGTTATATCCTCTTAAGAATGTATTATATTATGAAAAAGAGACTAACAGGCTTCACTTACCAGGTTTATTTGAATTTATTTTCTGCTCTTACTTACCAGTACCAGTGACCTTACTGAAAGAAAACTATGCATTGGCAAGTGCTGATGTAAACCATTCATTCAAGAATATGCAAGCAAGGTGCTGATGCACGGCAAAGTTGAGGGTAGCTTTCTTTAGATAATGATCTGGTTTGGGGTTAGCGGGAAATTGTTAATTTGTTAGATCTGGAGCATCTCTCTTGTGGATTTCAGAGGAACTAGGTTCAGGAGTAATTGGCAGGACATCTGATCTAACAGCCCTTATAAATAAACCTTACTAAAGCAATTCCACCTAATAAAGTCAATGTAATAACTTGTGTAAAAAGATCATCCTCAGCATCAGGCACTATACTGAGTCCACTAGCAATCTGTATCTGGTTCTAATTAACCACTACAATGATTTTCCTCTAGTATAATCCTGTTGAATTGGACAGAGTTATGTTTGATCTAAGTAGTAAAAATGAGAGGTGGGAATCAGGTCTCAAGATTGGAGAATACAAGAATCTTTAACGCTGCAGTTTCTTTTTCCTGTCTTAAACCATACCTCTGAAAACTGTTTCTCTTTCCCATTGGACCACTTCAGAGGGAAGAACTAAGGGAAGAATTTAATAGCTAGGTTCTTGATTTTGATTAGAAGCAGCAGCTTTGACCGCACAGCAAACTTCCGCTGTAGATGGCAAGCCTGTCAGGTTTGTCTCTTGGATCAGTCCTCCATCAAGCCTTGTTCGTGTTCTTTTCAGATAGATGGGGAGAACGGCTGAAGCTTCAAAAAATAGACACTGCAACACGATTGATCCAGTAAAAATCTCCGTCAACCCCCAGTCTATTTTTCAGGTTGAGGGGATTGTAGATGTCATCTACTACTGCGTTTTGTTGTTTGTGTTTTTTGTGCTTGTTTTTTTTTATTCAGAGATTAAGAAATAGTATCACTAAAGGGTAATTGTTCATTTAATCCCAATTGCCTATAAGTACCAGAGGACCTTATTTCATTTGTTTCAGTCTCTTTTGCTGTAAAACTACCTTAGCCTTTGAGTGAAAGCCATGATATAAGGCAGGAAAAGAAGATATTATTGCAAGTAAGATCTTTGCAGTCAGTGCATTCTTGTAGAAGGAAGCTTAAAATACTGTAACTTACTAGGGAGTAAACTCTTAGTATTGGATAAATGAAAAGCATAGCACTTCTAAACTTCTAAGTTTCGAAGTCAGGCACTCTGGAAGCATAAGGACCTCCCTGCTAAGTGTCTGTATAAGAGCAGAACCTAGGGAAGATCAGGGCATCTTATTTTCTTAGGCTGCCTATGAACAGCATCTAAGTGCCTAGCAGACTGTCCAGCAAAGAGTGGAACTGCAGAGCATGTTACTTGGAAATTGCTTTCATTGACATAGGTACATAAATTCTATTTTAAGTCATTACTTGTGTCAGAGGCATTCTAGGCTTCTCACTAAGTCATGTTGTTTTACAAATGTGGCAATATGGGCAAAAATTATAGCTCACATGGCTTTTAACCATTGCCTAAAGTGACCAGAACTTCTTACTTCAAGGATTTTAACTATATTCTACTTAGTTTAACAGAATTAATTAAATTTTATTTTATCGATTTTATTAAAGCTGAAGATCCACCACTGAATTGTGTAAAGGATTTGTAATACTGTAAAGAGTATTTAGTTTTAATAGTAAAATAATAAATAACCTACAAGACATCTTGGCAGCTGAAGGAAGCTTGCTTATCTCTCGAATCGTGTTAGAGACACTGTTCCACTTTGCATTAAGCTTATAAATTAAAATCAGACATAAATTAAAATCCATTGAAGTGTAACTGAAAAGCAGTGCATTTATAATAGCCACGTTTACCTTCCCAGCAGTTAATTTATAGGCATTTTATTTTCAATGTGACTAATGCTTACTTAATTGGAGTGATTTACTTCTCTTCTGCCTCTTTGGAACAGCTCAGGTACCTGGGGTTGAAACACTTACGGAAGATGTTCATGAATTTCAGAGTGCCTCTCAAGTGGCAGGATCTGTAAGTATCTTCCCATATGGATAACCTTTTAATTTTTAAAAATAATTTAATTAAAAAATAGATTTTTGCATAAAGATAAAAGTTGTGCTTGCCAGCACTGTCATCCTAGAGAGAAGAAGACTTAATTTACCTAACCCTTCTGAATTTTCAGTTCTCTGGCTGCTTTATTGTTTTCATTCTAGGGAGGGTGATATAATGAAATAAATCATTATAATCTCATACAAAACCATATGTTGTTGGACTTGCATGCATAGCTCCTGTTGAAAGTGCAGTCATTTCATGCTATGTGTGTACGTTAGTCAAATATCCATTTGACTTATGGATAATATTCAATTTTACAAAATTAAGAGAACAAAATAATTAAAATTCTAAATTTCATTATGAAATATGACATCATGATATCTCAACTATGATTTAGCTTTTTGGTAACATTTTCTTGGAAACTGATAAACAAGAGGTGTCTATTTAAAGTGACTTTATTTTTTTAAAGAATGAAGTATGATGCTTGGTAATATTTTCATCAGTTCTTTTATTTTGAAATGTAATACATTTTTTTCAGATGTGCAGTTTGCAGAAAATATAGCCAGCAATAAAATAATTTTTGAAAAATTATACAATCAGAATTTTGGTTATAGTTGTATCACATTGGAAGTTTGAGTACAGGTTAAAGAAGGGATTGCGTTTTTTCTAAAGCAAGTAACTTGACAATAGTTGTGCGGTTTTGCAAAATTTTAGACAGCTCTAAGAGGGCACATTAATTCCTCTTCAACCATAGCAATACTGATTTATAGCACACTCCAGTGTTGGTAAAGTAAGTGAAAAGAAGGGCTCAGTATTTTTTAGCTAAGGGAAAAAGGGCAGTATTAAAAAAAAAAATGGAAGAAAAATGGCAATGCAGACTGATCCTACAGTCTTTCAGGCAGTTGATTAAGTACTACTAATAAAGCTAAATAATACTGAGCATACTGTATTTCCAACCAGAGTTATCAAAGCAGTTGGCAGATACGGAGTTCCATATCAATTCCTAAAGCTCTTGGAAAACTTGGAGTGCAAGAACCTCACAGAGCATTTGCGGATATTGGGCAAAAAGAATAAGAACTTCAGTTGCCATTGCTTTGAGCTTCTTTCTCAAGCCTCCTTTCTGCTTCACACCAGTGAACAGAGAGGTATAATAAATTTTGTGGCAGTTTCCAAACCCATGTTTTTCTTATGTATTTGTGCCTACAGCTACCAGCTTTGATTTTGCAGTTCTGCAGACATGT